GTCTCAACTACATTAATACTGAGCTTCTCTAGGTGAGTAAGCACCGGTGTGGTTGACGGCCTATTCCTATTGAGCTGTCTTTATTAATCAAGGAATAAGCCAAACGAATCGGGAAGCTCTCGAGACCTACCAGATCTTGTATCTCTTTAAATGCTTATTGACCAGACGGGAGCCTTGGGCTTATCTATCTCCATGCTTAGGGTTCTTACCCAGGATAGCATGCCAAACCTGCTATTATCATCAAGCATTATTAAGTGTGAACTCTTGGGGCCCTATCACACCCGATGCAATGCGGTGCAAGACACAACGCAATTGTTGTTTGCTAGTTTCAGCTCGACGCAAGTGTCATTTTGACGTTTTGAACCATGCTGTTTAAATAGCAAATGCATTTGCATTGAGGTGCATTTGCAAGAATGTGTGTTGAGGTGCATTGCTGGCGCATTGCAATTTTGAGGAGCTATAATAGACTGCACAATAAATCAAAAGAGGTCTAAAGTCCAGCGCAGAGTGAGCCTTGCTTAAACATTGCATAATACACACAGGATGTACAGCAATATGCTGTAAAATATTTAATGCTTTGTTTATTCTCCACCAATAAACATGTAGCAAATTATAACAATAATGTAGATTAACTTGCACGCATATCTACATCAAAAATCTGTAAAAGATTATAATGTATATTAAAGTGCTCGCATATCTACACCATTATTACTGTAGTAAATTAGCTCAAGGTTATTCTTCCCGCGCCTTTTCCGCCATTATAATGTTAATAGTTATGATTTAGATTACAGTGCATTATATATATAGCGGGCTAGCTTAACAGGAGGAAGATTCATTTGAATGGGGCTTCAAATGAATCTACTCTTTAGATCTGAACAAACGAATTTTCCAGCGATGCTATGAAAAATAAACCTATTAAGTTTGAGCAGGGTAACAAGATCAAAGTTTAAGACATTAGATTCATAAATATACACAGGCACCTTTCTTTATACAAAAGTAAACTTTATTGACTAATCTAACAGAAACAAACACCTAACACAAACACACATTCATTAGAAAATAGAGAAGATTAACGAACGTGAAGTAAGAGGTTGAGAAGATGTAATGATGGGAGAACCTCGGAGTTTGTAAGAGCAAACTAAGCAAACCAAACAATCAAATTCAATATAACCCTTCTAGGGTCTTTTAGAGTTGCATTTAGTCTACATCAGTTGAAATGGAAGTGTACTTGCGTGTCCATGTGATGTAAGGAGGCTCCCTTGGTTGAGCATGTGGTTCTGCTGGTTGTACCTTTGCTCGCACGAGTGTTGGAGGGGGGTGAGTCCGTGTTTGAAGTTGAAGCAGCAAAAGGATTCAGGGATGTGAAATGTCCGAGCTGTGCGATTAACCCTTTCTGTCTGGGTTTCCGCCTGCTTTCTTGGAGGTTTCTCTGCTTATGTCTCGTTTTTAGTTTCTGAAGAAGTTGCAAAGAGTTTGAAGAAAAGTTTCAAAACAGCGTGTTTCAGAGCAGAGCCGGGTTCAAGAGAGAGGTTCAAGAGTTGCAGTTCAAAGAGAGACTAGAGAAAGAGAGAGGGGCGTAGCTTTGGTCCCAGCTTATATAGGGCGGGTTCGGATCCACCCTCCATGGAAAGTTGACCAATTAGAAACTAACCTCTCTGCATCTGGTTTATGGGGCTTTGTGCGTGGCAGCGGAATTTGCATAGGCAAATTTTATGCAAATTGGGACAGAAATGTTAAAGTCTCTTAAAATGTTAATATGTTACACTCGTATTAAAATAAAATGTCAACGATCAATTAGTACAGCAAGTAAGCTTTACGAAAAGTCTAAACACGAACAGTATAAGAGCTTGTTTAGCTTCGGTAAAGTTAAACATTTATACAGAATTATTCAAACCAATAATATTAATACAGGAGCAAGGGAAATGTTGCAAAACACATGATTACACATGAAGAGAGAGTAAAGTTTACATTAAAACATCATTCTTAAGCAAGGAGCTTAAAAAGTCCTGAACCGTTTTTTGTTCAATGCTACATGGCACATTCCTTTTGGGTCGTAAATACCTTGGAATCAGGTTTCGAGCCTTCCCTGGGAAAAGGCTGGCTCAGTTGTGGAATAAAAGCAAAATAATTATGTGTCTGGTCGGCCATATTTGGTACAATGCAAATATCTTTACAAATAAAAAAGAATTAAAGGATTAAAATATTACAAAACATATTATTTTCTAGCCTACATAAATATAAAAACTACTGCCTCCATGCCTTCATCTCGGGTGGAGGGCTTTTTTTAGTTTATTTATGACAATTTGCTTTTGTAAAATGTTATTATTATTAGTATTTATTATATGCATATTTATATTTGTTTTATCAAAAATAAGCTTAGATTTGCCCACCTCTCAGGTTTTATACCATATAGGGCACAGCATGTGTATTTGAAAATAACTCAGTTTTTGATCACACTTCGTTATTATTGTTCATTTATTTGTTTGCTGAAAATCAGAACTGATTTTAGAAATAGTTTTAAAACAAATCTTTGCGCTTAATAAACTAAATTAAGTATGTAAAGGCTAATGGATATCTGTGCACACAACACGTTACCCTATCCACGAGAGTAAGAGTAAAAATGAAAGTAAAGAATAAATAGGCTCATTCTCTCAGGCTGTTCTCACACTAGGTACAGTTGCCTCGAACCCGGGCCAAAGCACGCTTGTCCCCCCTCCCGTCTCCCCCGATGGCCCGCGCTCACACCACAAACGGGCTTCGGCACGCTTACGTCATCGCTGCTGGGCTGTTCAGTGAGAAGCACTCTCTCACTCAGCAGCACAGTGGAGATTTCTCTAGTTATATCGTTTCAGTTGTTTGATATGCCGTCAAATATTTCGCCAAACAGTCCTTAGGGATGCGGGGACACGCAGTCAGATATTTCGCCGTACAGATCCGCCACTTTTGGCGCTCATAAACAATCATAAAGCTCTCATGCTGCAGGAATGAGGAGGTCTGCTGAAGGCGCGCAGCTGTCGTGAAGTGAGGAGTTTGCGTCTTTAATAAACGACGGCAGTTTGCGTTCACTGAACAGTAATGATTAATAAATCTATATGAAACAGTCCCTTAAAAGTCACGTCTCACTTTCAGTTTCGGGCTTTGGCGCGTTTTGCACTCACACACAAGCGTACCGCGCCAAAGCCCAAGTGAACCGCGCTTAGGCACACCTCTTCCAACCGGGCCAGGGCCGGCCAAGTGAACCGTGCTTGAGCCTGATTTAGCGCACTCGCACTTCTCAAACGATCCGGGAAACGGGCCTGGGCACGTTACGGATGGCATAGTGTGAGTAGGCCCTCATTCTCACGCTGTAGATGGTCTGTTTAACTGTTTCCTGCTAGTTAGGCATTCAGTTTTTCCACTTACAAAATCGACCATGTAAATAGCAAATGCGCCATAGCGCGACACAACTGACTCTTACAGGGAATGGCAGATGAGACTGATTGGTTTATTCTCAAAACACACCTATAAGTCATTAAGAGAATAAGCTCAACGCTGTTAGACCATACGCCACAGAGCAAAGCAAATTTTTCCGTCCTTAAAATAGCAGAAGTTGATTCGGACGTTCCCTGAATGCTTTTGCACCCTGTGCTTTGCACTTTGCACCTGGATCGTCAAAATAGAGCCCTTGAAGTGTGTATTATTGTGAGGATTTGTCAAACGGATGAAGATCTTTTCTTAATTTACTGGTGTTTTTTGTAATTGCATGAGTTTTCTAAAATGTAGCACGTTTATCTATCTCAGCAATCGCACAAAAAGGAATGTCAAACTTAGTGATAGTATTCTTTAAATTCATCCAAGACTACCTCTATGTAGAATTAAAGAGTAAACACTGTGCATTTGCCTTGTTATGCACCTTCTGTGTGCTATATGCCAGTGGTTTGGCTCCATAAGTTGTCAATTATTAGATAGTGTAATATAATAAATCTAAAACAATAATATTGTAAAACAATAATAATCTAAAGTTATAGACATTGTAGAAATTATTGGTTTGAAAAAATACGCCATTATAAAAACCTGAGTTTCTGGTATTTGATATTCCAGATATTTGTGTGATGGATGGTCTTTTCCGAGGGAGAGCAGATATGGTCTTTGGGAATTGACTGCATTTGGAAGGAAGGAATTTTATGTTTAGAATGCACAATTTTATTTCCCTAATCTCTCAGTACAATAAATTATTAGATCAGAATCAATAAAAAAGTTTGCTCCCTTAAGGAAAATAACTTTTACTGTGTTGAGAAAATGTTGTGCTGGCCATTACGGGACCTTGTTGTCTGTTTTCCCAATGACAGCGGTATTTCTGCACCCCTTTGCCCTTCAGAATAAACCAATTCTGTTTGTCTCTCTCTTTCTCTCTCTGCAGAATGATTCTGTGAGGGTTGGGTTTAGGGTAAGGTTGAAGTAAATGAACAGAATATAAAAAAAATCATGGTTTGGGTAGTTCTTTTAAAACAAGCAATTTCAGTGTGTTTGTATGTGTGTAAAGGTTTATGTGGTTTAAAGAGACATGAAGTTATATAATGACATGAGTATGATATTGTTACAGGGATACAGTGTGTAGGCATCTGTGTGTGTGCAGGCATCCCTGTGTGAGCGAGAGACAGGTAGAGTCTTCTAGGTCTTGATGTTTGTGACTCCTTCGATCTGAGCTCCAACCGAGCACAGAATTGCCCAAGTGTGTGCAGTCCTATGATAACAGCTAGAGATTGCTGTGTGTGTATGTATTTGCTGTTTCTGACACTGCACTCTTTCATCATCTGAGGGTTATCAGCTGTCATTGTGAATGCTGTCTAACAGACCATACTGTTACTCTCTTATGCTGTCTGATTTGTGTGTATTTCTGCAGAATGTTTCTTTAAAATTAACTTCAGAACTGTTTTTTTACTAATAGAATCCTGTGAAATCCAACCCAGACCAAAGCTATGAGACTTAAAGTTCTCTTTGTATCCTGTGTTCTCCTTCAGGATCCTGTATATGGGAAAGGAAAACTGGCTGAGATCCAGGGGCTCATTTTAGGAATGCTGGAGACTTTCAACTATGAACAGGTATTGTACTGTGGGTGCATGCACGTTATTAGCATAGTTGTTGCATAGAAAGAATAAGATGTTTTTAAAAAATCAAGTATTTGCTCTTCTTTTCTCTTAAAAAATATTGGAATCGATTAGCAGATTTGGAATCAGAACCATAAACGCTTAAATTATACTTAAATAACCAACCTTAGCTTTGTGATATCAATTGTTTTTGATTTTGTGGTTACAAGTTGAACATTTTAAACATTTGGTTTTCAGAATTTTATTTCCCTTAGATAATGTCACTTTACCATGATACAGTGCATCTGGAAAGTATAAAGCACTTCACCTTTTCCACATTTTGTTTTGTTACTGCCTTACTCCAAAATAGACTATATATATATATATATATATATATATATATATATATGAAATTACGTGTGAGTTTTCTGAGAGAAATTACAAAACGGGACGGAAGCAGGAGATGGGTCTGAAATACAGGAGACTGCCAGGAAAAATGGGAGTGTTGGCAGGTATGCTCACACATACACTCTGCACTCGGACTACTTCAGAATTGTTAATAGGGCATGGTGGGCATTTCTCTTTTTCTCACACTGAACACAGTCGACAATAACAGCAGACTGGGTCATCAGACCAATCAGCGCAGATTAGCACCGCGCTAAGGAGGGGTTTGCGAACAAATGAATCGCTGAACAAATCATATGGGAGTTGATGGGATAATTAGGTAAAAATGAATGCGTATTATAAGACAATGAACGTGTTTTTGACCTTGCATGCACATCAGCCTGTTGTTGGAGACCCCCAAAATCAAAATATGTTCCTTTTTAATGCATAATAGGGGCTCTTTACTGGCATTCACATTAAGAAACTTGAATTGCGTGTTTAAACAGAGATTTGTCCATTTATGCAAGCAATGTGATAAACCAAAGAAAGAATTGGAAAAAAATGAAACCAAAAAAGGTGGATTGGTCGTTCTTTTATTGTCTTACAGGAGAGGCTGCTGGCAAGAGAGAATGTTATGTGCTGTGACTGCGACGCGTGTCATTTCATAACCATAGGGCCCATTGTCTGACTGAATTAAATTAGTTCTATGGATGTTAGGGAAATTAATTCACTAAGCTACTTGAGGGGCTCGAGCAAAGTACCCTGAGAGCCGGGTTGGTCTTGCGGGCTGCCAATTGAATAGCATAGCTTAAAACAATTTAAAACTTGACAGAGCTGCTGCACCAGTAACATGACTGAAATCTATAAATGCATGCATTTATTCATCGAATGAAATTAAAGAGCAATGCAGTTTATTGTGACAAAAAAATAATGTTTTGAGTTACTTTAATCTTTTTTTTGTGCTACGTTTAGTTTTATCTCTTCCATCACTGAAATTGCAGTGATGTAGTCACTGTCTGTATCTAATAATACCCATGTCATCCTGGCTTCATCTCATCTTAGTCTTGGAAAAAAAGGTCATTAACAACATCTTTATTTTTTGTTACCGAAATTAACAATGGTCTGTCAACAACCATTTTAAGATACTGTATCCCCACAGATGTTCATTTGGGTTTAGGTTTGGGCTCTGGTGGGACCACTCAGGGGCATTCACAGATTTGTATTGTAGCCACCTCTTTGTGATTTTGGCTATGTGCTTAAGGTTTCTATCCTGTTTCAAGATGAACTGTTGCCTCAGTCTGAGGTTGAAAACACTCTGGAGAAGTTTTTCATCGGGTATATCTCTACATTGCTGCATTAATCCTTCCTTTTATCTTGGTCTTGGTCCCCCAGATGTTTCCACTAAAAACACCACCATGCTTCACTGTAGGGATGGTATTGGCCAGTTAAAGAATAGTGCCTGGCTTTTTCAAGACATAAATTTTTCCCAAGACATAAAAAAAGAAAAGAAATCAAAAAAAGAAAATAATTATTTTTTCTTATGGTCTGAGAGTCCTTCAAGTGCCTTTAGGTCATCTGTCTGACTAAGCCCTTGTCCTTGATCACTTGGTTTAACCGAGCAGCACACTCAAGGAAGAGTCCTGGTGATTTTACATTCTGCTATTCATAAATAATGGCGGCCACAAAAAATCCTGTCTTGGAGGTCAACAGACAATTCCATAGACTTCATGGCTTGGTTTGCACTCTGACATGGTGTGTGCCTTTCTAAATCAAGTACCGTGAACTAATTTTGGCAAGGTTTAAAAATATCTCAGTAGCTATGTTTCCATTCACAAATGTTTATATGCATTTTGGATATGCTCATAAAAATGGTTGATGGAAACACCAATATGTGCATTAATTTTGAAAATGCACTTAAAAAACAAATGTGCATAACTGAGTAGGATAAACTATTTATTTAATTTTAAAAAATGCATAAACTACATTGGAAACACTTTTACCAAACAAATGTTTAAGTCTTGTGATTTTGTTATGAGAGATGATCAAAATATGTGTAAATTGGATAAATCTGCAGGCTGACTGCACTGTAAAACATCTGAAATGTTTTGGTTATTCTAAAATGCCTAGCCATCTCAGTATTAGTGTTATTATATTAATAATTACCTCCAAAACTCAAGAGTGTCTGTGCTCCACGTCTCATCCCTTCAAACGCCATCACACCTTCATTGAATGTTAGCATTGTCTTCTGAGGAAAGAGTAATTTATTAAATGAAGAAAAGATTAACGCAGCTTTTCTTACTGCAGCACATTCCATTTTTTCTTTTGATTTTTGCCACCAGTTTATGAGTAAGTGAAAATAGTTTTTTCTTTGATTTGTTGGAAAGAAACGCTGCTTTACATCATTTACGTGATATTCTAGTTTTGTGCATAAATTTAATTCACATGTATAAATGGTCACACAGCTAATAATGATCAGTAGAATCAGGAGGCACTTTTGCGGTGAATGCTACTGTATACTTATGTACTGTACTTTAGAGCCGTAATTGGGCCATAAAAAGTTAGGACCAATAGTACATTTTGATTGGCTGCTTTTTAAAAGCCTGAACCCGTTTACGCCCTGGCATTAGTCATCTATATGTGTTTTAACATAGTTTATTCATAAAAAATGTAGGGTATTGGTCGCTTTCAAGTTAAGATAAAATAAGTCCTCTGTAACATCAAAACATCTCAGCACTCTAAATAGGCTTAGGTACATACACTTCGCCTTTAAATTGGCCAACACACCAATAACAAATATTGCCTAACAAATTAAATTAAAATAAAATCTAAATTACGACGGGTATTTGGCAATAATGAAATTGAGATAAAGGCTCTGCGGGATTTGTTTCGCCACTTCTCTTCACAATCCAGCCTTAAGGTGACTTTGAAGCTGAATATTAAAATAATAATGACAACATATATTCCGTCTACTTTATGCACTTTTGGTTTATTTAATATTTAGTTATAATTTGAAAATCTTTTGCTTACCAACATTAGGCTATGTGGTTTTGTGGAGGAACATTATTCAATCCACCCATTGTCTTTAGCGTGGTCTTGCACTTACTGATGGTGCGTCCATCAGTACTGAACAAGCTTTCACTGCTGCTGCTACTGGCCGGAATGTATACTGTTCTGGCTAATTTTGCATGTTTTTGGTAGGATTGTTTGTTCATCTTTCACCAGCCAAGAATATCCATTTAATTTTCCATGACAGCGGTTTCAGTAGCAAGTGACCTTGTCATTTTCTTTGTCAGCTTGCTCTACATTTTCCCACTCCGCAAAATTAGCTCTTTTTGACTTCTCTGTTATTGCTTGTTTCACCTTTGCAGGGATGGGTTTTAATGTTGTAAAAGACAATTTAATTACTTTCTCACGCTAATCGAAATGCATCACATGACTGTTCATTTACCCCACAAGCCAGAGTGCAAGCCCGAGTCTGGCCCGACCCCTTCTAAAATGATAGATATTGAGCACACATTTGGACATACCGTCTCACTCATGCTTTGTAAGGTGTTGAAATTCACAAAGTTGTTGTTAAATATGTCTGTACAGTAGAGCAACCCACGGTGATTTTTTTTCACATTGCCATTATTGGGATGTTGTTTATAAAATATTGAGGAAAATTATGAATTATTAATAATTAGCAAAATAATTTATGTAATCTGCTTTAGAATTAGGCTGTAAATAAACAAAATACAGAAAATTGTAAGCACTGAACTCTTTCTGGACATACTGTATCTCACTCATGCTTTGTAAGGTGATAAAATAGACAAAATTATTGTTAAATATGTCCGTACAGTAAAGCAACCCACAGTGCCTCATTAATGTCTTACTCTCCTATTTATTGTGCACTTGTGGATCTTGGACAGCAGTGTAGAAAGATATTTCATTTAGCTTTGTTAAATTATAATGAGATCTTTTTATACTGCTCACACAGTTCAAGCTACAGCAGCTAAATTCACACTGTTCTATGTGATAATTGGAATGAGATGTGAGGCGAGATTTTTGGGGTTCTTTTCCTTTTTCAGTGTTGTAAATTATTTTATTTTATGTAAAGTGACATCCAAGCACACAGTGTCAGTCAGCAAACGAGAGCTGCATGACAGACACTTGATCCCTTGCATAAATTACACTAGTTTTTTTTCTTGGCCAACACTAATTATTATGGATGCTATATGTTCTTAAAGTTGTGCACTGTTTGTTTATAAGAGATTTGTTGTGTACAACTGCAGTAACTATGTCTATTTAAATAAATAAAAAAACACACATACATTTTCAGACACACTTGCGTTGGGTTTTCATGTTTTATGGAGACCATCCATAGAAATAATTATTTTTTTTAATACTGTACATTCTGAATAGTCTATCCTTTTACACTAACCCTTCCCTTACTCCCAACCCTCACAAAAACATTCTGCAGTTTTAATAAAAGTAATATATATAAATAACTTTCTTTGATTAATGAACATTTTTCTAATGGAGAACAACTGCTGATTATAATATTAGTAATGATAATAATAATAATATTACTAATAATAATTCTTTATATTTATATAGCACATTTCTGGGCACTCAAAGTGCTTTACACATGG